CTGTATCTTAAGTGGAAGCTCTGGCTCTGCTGGCATTTTTAGTAAGAGCCACTGTTAAAATTGTAGAGGCTGGCTTATCCTGTGGCATGTATGGCTCTTCCTTGGCTTTGTTATGCTAGACCCATAAAATGTTGCTCAAAAGTACTGCTCCTTTAGAGCACTAACACTTAGAAAAAGGTATGACCGGGCATCTTAACCTGTACTGCTTGGAGTTCCTTTGTTCAGGGTAAAGTGAGGGAGGCTCAAAGGACTGAAGGCTTCTAACGTAGCTGTTTCACAGTGTTGGCAATGGCAGGAAATCCGGAGAAGACAGGTAATGCTGCCAGGGCTTGAGGGATGCAGACCTTACATGGAGCAGAACTATGCACAGGAAGAGAAAGCTCTTGTGAGGATCTCTCTCTCTCTAATATTATAGTAAAAATTGTCTCAAACCTGGTTGTACTTATCTTTCATAGTACTGTGAGGTCTCTGAGCTCATTTCTTCACTGAAGCTCATGCTGGACTGAAATTTGGCACAAAGCTGTTCATGCTTATTCTTGATCGATTCCAAAATACGTAAATTCACCTGTGTGTTAATACTCAAAATCCAGGGCTGCATGTCGTAATTTGGAGTATGTCTGGGTAATAAACCTTTTCTACTGTTTCTATGTTCAATGCGTTTAGTCCCTCTGTTTCGGAGGTAACCTGCTGGACTTGAGATCTAATGAAATAAATTATTCTTACAGGAGGTAGCGCAGGCCAAATTTTCTGTTGCTACTAAGGGAGAGCTAATAGTTAACAGCTGGTGACAGGGTTATGTTTTCACTCATAGGTTGCCCAGCTCAAATGTAAAGTATCACTTGGAAAAGTTGGCTTTGTTAGTGAAAAGTATGAGGTTCGTTTTTAAAAGCTGTACTGATTTTTTTTTTTAAGACCAAAAAAAGTGCCTTTCTCCTGTTGGGAGGATAGAAATTCTCTAAGGAGAAATAGCATAGACTGAGTTTCTGTCAATAAAAGAGTACGTGCAATTTAATACCAGACAGCTTTTTAATACAGGAGGAAAAAAAACCCCAGACACTCACCTACCTTATGAAGGGGGAAAATACAAAAACCTACCTGCAGTATGTTACCTAAATTTAGCCACAGAGGGGATAATCTTCTTGGAGACAAAAAAATCTGTCTGGGGGAAGTAAGTAAAGGCTATGGAGAAGCTGTACCCGGAGACCCTCCAGCCCCATTTTCCAAAGTGCTGGCAATAGGAAACGTGTTAGGCAGCACCAGTGGCCAGACTGTAAGGTGGCACTTGCTTGGTCGGTCTTTCTTATGAAAGTTTCTGTTTGATCTTCAATAATATAAGTGGCTGAGGTTGGAGATGTGTGAATGGCTTGCCTCAAATGACAGAGCTGCTCAGAATCATCCTTGGTTTGAGCTTGAATTGTTCCCCTGTTCAAGCAGTGGTGGGATCATGCTTTGGGCAACACGTACCCATAAACGCATTCAGCTTCTTACGGACTCCCTGCAGCCCTTCTCCCTCCTGACGTCTGTACTAGAAACCCTATCTGGAAGAGGCATCTGATCCTTAACACAATGCTTGACCACAAAAGAATAAACTTGGGTTCAGAAGTCAAAGTAAACCTCAGGTTATCGCTCAGAATGAAAAAAAAATGGACACTAGCTTTTTGGTCAAATACTAGTTCCATAATTTTTTCTAAATTCCATTTTGTAATGGCTTCTTAGTCTGAGATCAAATGGGAATTGTAGAGTTCTCAGAAGTGTGAATATTTAGGATTTCTGAGGTCTTAATTTAAGTGTAACCATAAGCCCTGACATCAGTATTTCTTCTAGTTTCATGAACTTAAGAAAGTTTGTGGTATGTAACTTCCAGTGAGTTCTTCAAAGAGCAAGATCTTAGTACTGTCACTGTCTCCTTTGTCCTCATTTGAAACAAGCCGAGAAGCTGTAAACAACTGAAAACTGCTGCCAGGTTCTGTTGTATTCTCACCCCCTTAATACAGTTCTCTGTTTAACAACTTCCTTCTAGAGTCTTGGTGGAGATGCTTTGCGTGTGCAGAAACTGAGTCTGAGGGTGCTCACAGCAGAGTCAGAGCTGTAGCAGGGGTCCTGTTTTGTATAATGACACTTACCTTGTTTTCATACACTTCTCCAGTCCTGGCAGTGGTACTTTGACTCTGGATTATTCCCTGCATCCTCAGTTCCTCAAGAATGTCGGATGATTCTTGCCTCTCTGTTTCCTGTAAGGGCCATGATTTACTGATGAACTTGCTGGTGAGCGGTACGTCTTCAAGAGATGAAAACATTCAAACTTAGTACTTGTAGAGTACTTGGCATTCAAACAAAACTTCATGATGCATTTCCAGTGCCCAGGTATTTATTTAAGAGGTTACATACTGAGAACGTCCAGTGGAGGAGGCCTGCTTGAGGCTCACTTCACTGCTTAAACTTTGCAGTAAGCTTTTTAGTGGCTAGAAAAATGGTGCAGGTGCCTAGTTCAGTTTCTCGCTGTAGTTGGTTACAGCCAGAGGGGCTCCTCCAGGGAAGCGTGGAAGCATGTGCCAAAGGCCTGTGAAGCCACTTTTTGAGCATGTTCCCAAAGAGGGTCCACAGGGAGCTCTTTACAGTTCAAGTTCTCAAAGGTTGTGTGATCTGGTCAGAGGAAGCCAGGCTGGGATGGGATAGAACAAGCCTACTAATGGGCCGTCTTGTAAAGATCACTATGTTCTTCTGTTAAATGCACCCAAATTTTCATGTGCTTGCATGATCTGTGATTTTTGTTGTAACAGCATTGCTACATTTGAGTCTGATCATAAGCATTCCAATGCTTAATTATATATTTATAAACAGCAATTAAGAATAAAAAACCAAATTATTTTGATAACCCTTCTGAGTGGCTGTTTAGTTTCCACACATTAGACATGAATAAACAATGAACAACTTTATTGCCAAGACCCATCAGGTTTTTCAACCCTCAGTTGACAGTTCTACCATCTGCCCAACCTCTATTGGCAGAAGGTAGGGCTTTTCTACAAAGAATGCTTGGACCAAATCAAAATCGCAGTTATTTGACATCTGCCAGTCTTTATATGCAGAGTGAGTATGACAACATTGCCTTGTTTTTTAGTTGTAAAACAAAAATACAGAACATGTACCACCTTGTAGAAGCTGACTCCCTACCTCTCCTAAAGTAACTGAACCAGTCACCCAAAAAGCACTGGGGTTCAGCTGTCAGTCAGAACATGTAAAGGTCAGAAGCCAGTATTCAGCAGAACATATCTTGGCAAAAAATAAAAGAGTGATGAGTGGGAAATGTTGACAAGTGATGTGAATTTGTATTGGTTTTACTAATCCATTCAGGAGAAAAATGTAGTTGAATGCTATGTGCTGGAGGGTAGGAAGGCTCTGCAG